TATCTTCCTTTCCAATCTGAATGTCCTTGATATCTTTTCTGTGCCTAACTGCTATGGCACGAACTTCCAGCACTATATCGAATAGGAGTGGTGAGAGTGGGCAACTTTGTCTTGTCCCGGATCTTAGAGGGAAGGCTTTTAGTTTCTCCCCATTGAGAATAATACTTGCTGTGAACTTGTGGTAGATGCTTTTGACTATACTGAGGGAAGCTCCTTCAATTTCCATTTTTTAATCATGAACAAGTGCTGGATCTTGTCAAATGCTTTCTCTGCATCTATTGATATGATTATATGGTTTTTATCTTTCCTTTTATTGATAAAAGAAATGCTGATTGACTTGTGAGTATTAAACCATCCTTGCATCCCTGGGATGAATCCTATTTGGTCATGGAGTATGATCCTTTTGATGAGTCGTTGGATTCTTTTTGGTAAGATCTTGTTGAGGATCTTTGTGTATGTATTCATCAAGGATATTGGCCTGTAATTCTCTTATCTCTGTCTGCTCTTGGTATCAGGATGATAATCGCCTCATAGAATCTGTTGGAAGTGTTTCTGGTTCTTCAATTTCCTGGAAAAGCTTGAAAAGGATTGGGAATAGTAAGTGCTCTTTAAATATTTGGAAGACTTCACTAGTGAATCCATCTGGGCCAGGACTTTTATTTGGGGGGAGACTTTTTATTGCCATTTCAATTTCCATTGAGAGACTGTTTTTAATATCCTGAGCATAGAGGCCCAAAAATAGAATTGCTAGGTCATATAGAAGTTCAATTCTAATTTTCTGAGAATTCTCCATGCTGTTTTTTACAGGATGAGTCATACCAGACAATATGCCCACCAGCAATGGATAAGAGTTCCTTTTCACCACATCCCCACAACAGTTTGTTCCTATTATTTTGATATGTGCTATTCTCACTGGTATGAGATGGTTCTCATTGTCATCTTTATGTTGGATTTCTCTGATGATAAGCATTTATTTTTTTATCATCTCTGATGATACTGAGCATTTTTTGATGTGTCTACTGGCCATCTGCCCATCTTCCTCTGAGGAGTATCTATTCATTTCCTCTCTCCATTTTTGGTAGGTTTTATGAAGCATAATGTCTTCAGCTTGGTTATTCTTTCTTAGGGTTGCTTTGGTTATTGAGGGTTTTACATAGTTCTTTCTTAGGGTTGCAAGGATGTTTTAATACTCACAAGTCAATCAGCATTTCTTTTATCAATAAAAGGAAAGATAAAAACAATATAATCATATCGATAGATGCAGAGAAAGCATTTGACAAGATGCAGCACCCGTTCATGATAGAAAAAAAAACTCTCAATAAAATGGGAATTGAAGGAGCTTCCCTCAGTATAGTCAAAAGCATCTACCACAAGCCCACAGCAAGTATTATTCTCAATGGGGAGAAACTAAAAGCCTTCCCTCTAAGATCAGGGACAAGACAAAGCTACCTACTCTCACTCTATACCAATTTGGGAAAATTTTTTTGTTTCTGTATTCTATCTACAGATGACCAGGTAGTATTAACATTTTAATAATGCTAATTCTTCTAATTCTAATATTTGAACACAGGATATCTTTCCACTTATGTGTGTCTTCTTCATATTCTTTTAATAACATCTATTCAAATAACATCCCATTTGCTTATAGTGCATACCCTTTTACTGTAATGTGAATTTATTTTGCTAATGCAACAGTCCCTCATATCTATAGAGCAGTAGCTTCCTGAAACTGAAAGTACACAAAAATTAGAGTTTTTTGTTTATGTGGTAAGAACCACTTATTAATTGATGGAGTAGTTGATGAAAAAAAGATATTATAGTCTTGCTAATAAATGAAAATGAAGCTTTAATTTAAAAATGTGCTGTGATTTTTTTTTCTACATGTAATACCTATGATCCTGTCCTCCCATTGTTTATAGATTTGCTCGAGCGGGCCCAGTGACGTCTCCATTGGAGACTTTGTTGTTACTGTGTTTGGCATATCAAATACAACACGGGGAGCTTGCCAGGCCCTGCCGTGTGGGCGAGATACTCTCGGTAGCTTGCCTGGCTCTCCGAGAGGGGCGGAGGAATCGAACTTGGGTCGGCCATGTTGGCTGCATGCAAGGCAAATGCCCTACCGCTGTGCTATCACTCCAGCCCACAAGTAACAAGTAACTGAAACAAAGAAAAATAAAACCATATGAAAAAACAATTACAGTTTTTTAAAATGTAAGAGTACTGTTATTTATTCAGCCACTGATTAAGCTGACTGAAGCAGGCATGAACTCCTTATTACTTTTTTTTTAAAAAAATGTTATTGAATACCTGTGAGACAGTCTATTACAAAGCTATTCATGATTGAGTTTCAGTCATACAATGATCCCAACACCCATCCTTCCAACAATTACATTTTCCACCACCAATGTCCCTCATTTCCCTCCCACCTCCCCCAACACCCAACCCCCAGCCCCAGCTTTTCTCTATTTTTGTGCATTATGGTTTGCAATACTGGTACAAAGAGGTCATTATGTTTGTTCAGGGCATTCAATATTTTTATCAGGCTGAAGTAAGGCTGAAGTAGCTTTTTAAAGTCAATTTTTTTAATTAATTTATTTATTTATTTATTTATTGCTTTTTGGGTCATGCCTGGCAATGCACAAAGGTTGCTCCTGGTTCTGCACTCAGGAATTACCCCTGGCGGTGCTCAGGGGACCATATGGGATGCTGGGAATCGAACCCCGTTTGGCCACATGCAAGGCAAACGCCCTACCCGCTGTGCTATTGCTCCAGTCCCTGAAGTAGCTTTTTAACTGGGTGGCAGCTTTGGATTGTGGATGTAACTGCCAAGGCTTCTGGAATTATAGGGAGGTGGGAAGAGGTAGCCCATCTCAACTCTGAGAATGCCTGGAGGTTTCAGTCACAAAACTCACATACCCAAATTTTCGATAGCACAGCGGTAGGGCATTTGCCTTGCACGCAGCCAACATGGCCGACCGGAGTTCGATTCCTCCGCCCCTCTCAGAGAGCCCGGCAAGCTACCGAGAGTATCTCGCCTGCACGGCAGAGCCTGGCAAGCTCCCCGTGACGTGTTCGATATGCCAGACACAGTAACAACAAAGTCTCCAATGAAGACATTACTGGGCCCGCTCGAGCAAATTGATGAACAATGGGAGGACAGTGATATACAGTGATACAGTGATATATTTCTATGAAGTCCGTCCTGAGACAATTGTCAGGGCGGGACGCATGGCAGTGCTTTTGGATTGTGGAAGCAAGCAGCTGCGGAGGCTCTGCTTGAGTAGGCACGAGACTAATTTGCCCCCCCTCCAATTTACCCTGGTCTGCTCAGCCTTGTGTGGGTTCAAGATAAACTGTGGCTTTTGATCTCTTTTGAGATTTATGGGTCTCTGAAGCAAAGCCCAAAAATGAGCTTATACAGCTGAACCAGAGGTGGTTTGTGGGCATGACTTCCACATACCTAACTTCTCGCCATTTAACTTCTCAGACAATTTGGTCCCAAGTTGTTGGGGTCCGGCTAGAAGCACAGTGGCAATTTGGGGGTATCAGGAAGCCTGAAGGCACCATCAGGCTGCTTATGCACTCACCCCCACAGGCATAGGTTCGCCTGGTGGCAGCACTGTACCCCCGATTAAAGTAGTTTTTTAGAAATTTTGCATATATATTTATCAGACAATCATCAAAAATATTGGCCTATAGTTTCATTGTAGTATCCTTGTCTAGCTTTAGTATCAGGGAATGCTGGCCTTGTAAAACAAGTTTAGAAGTATTATTTCCTCTCCCTAAAAGTTCTTTATTAAACTTAGTTTTCAATTTTGTCTTATTTCTTTTCTGCCTTTCTCCTCCATGTCCTTATATCCTAATATCAAGATTGAGATTGGGGCAGAAGCAATACTACAGCAGGTAGGGCACTTGCCTTGCTCATGGCTGGCCCAGGTTCAATCTGCGGCACCCTTATATAGTCCCCCAAACCTGCTAGGAGTGATCCCCAAGCTCAGAGCCAAGAGTAATTCCCAAGCACCACCTGCTGTAGCTCAAAAGTTAAAAAAATTAAAAATTTGAGATTATCTGGAATAATCTTGGGTAGGGAAATAATATCATCTTGATTTTAAGTTTTGCCTCCAGTTTAATTCTGTTTATTCAGTTGGAAGGAAATTTGTACCTCTTTCTCTTTGGTATCTAAATAGGCTTTTCCAGTCCTTGATGACCCTGATGTCTCTTTATTTCTTTTCATTTTTGTTCACTCATTGGTCAGTTTTTTCACTAGTGCAATTATTTATTTTAATACCTGTCAAAGGCAACCTCACACATGAATTTCTAATTTTTTTTAATCTTTTACTTCTCTCAGAGCTAAGGACTTTGTTGTCACATAGTCTGTCTTTCATTTTTTATCAGATTTTTACTGTTAGCCTGGCTACTATGTTTTCAACATTTTATATCAATTTCTTTACCACCCACCCATTTCCAATTGCTAAGTCAATACAACACATTTTAGATGTCATTTGAGCAGCAACTTAATGGAACACTGTTATGGAATGATTGAGAGTTTGTTTCAAATATTGCTCAAATCCTGACTCCACTAGTTAGTAGGTACGTGACTTTAGATAAAATATCTTATCACTTTTAACATCAAGTTTCTAACTTATTAGTGAAAGAAAGGTTATAAATATTGAATTAAAAGATGTTTTAAAGTTTTTAGCTGCTACTTATTTTTAAACTAAGTACAGTTCCTGATACTTAATTTTAAATTGATATGTTTAACTTTTGTGAATAAAATTGTTTTATTTAAATTGTATATATTATCTCCCTTCAAAATCCTAAGGCTAACTCCTGCTGGAATTTCTTTTTGACCCTGTGTACTAAATGCCAGAGCCTACGAATTTCCCTGAACTTTATGAAAAGAGAGAAGCTTTGTCAAGATATAACACTCCAAAGGTAGAACTGAACTAGCACATGCCTGTGTGATAAAATGTTAATTCTTTTTGTTTGTTCACTTCTAGATTTTCTTGATTTTAGCCTGCATGTGCGTAATCCTAGCGATTGGACATGGCACTTGGGAGACCCTAAAAGGCTACCAGTTCCAGGGTTTTCTGCCATGGCAAAGATATGTCCCTTCATCAGTTGTCTCTGCCATGCTAATCTTCTGGTCCTATTTCATTATTCTCAACACCATGGTGCCCATTTCCCTTTATGTGAGGTAGGTTTCTTTGATCCTCGTGGATTATGAATAAGGAAAAAGCATCACACTTTGTGAATATTCCTCAATAAAATATGAACTTTTAGAAAGTGCAGGCTGTGTATTCATTGACTTCATAGGGTCAGGTATATAAAACACTCTAAAAACTATTTAGAGATTATGTAAATGCTCTCTATATTTAAATTTTATGCTAGTTACTATGTATATTATACAGATTGTAGAATTATCCTTGCTCTCAAAATAGAAGAGAATACAATGTAAGTGACTAAATAATATATACAGATACATGAAATCATTAGAAAACGTGCATACAAATTTGGTTATGCCAAAGCCTATGCCAGGCATCCCTTCGATAAATGAAGGGTTTATAAGACAGATTCAAATATTCACACAAATCAGTTAGTTAGAACTCAGAATGCACTTTTCAAAAACAATCTGACATATGGTTAACAGGTGCAATTTTAAGTTAAATTCTGGCTGCTAAAATTTAGAAAATAGAAGGATGTTTCTTTAACCACCCTCCATTAGCATCTTGTACAAAATGTGAAATACATAAAATATGTCTTTACTGCATTCTGATCTGATTCTGTTTGTGTCCACCAAACCTTTTCCCATGCATATACCTTCACTTCTTTCCAGGTTTTTTAAACACTGTACTGTGGTATTCCATCCTGAAAGTTTCCTTATGTAACAAAATTATCTTATTAGTCAATAGATATGAAGTATCTGCTATGCACCAAGTCCTACAATAGAAACATAAATAAATGAGACTAAGAGCCAAGGTCAGAAAAAAACAAAACAGGAGGACTGGGTCATGGTTGGAAGCTTACATTATGTATGTGGGGGGTGGAGGGCAATTAGAATAGAGAAGGGACCAACATAACAGTAATAGTTGAAAATGATCTCTCTGGACAAGAATTGAGTGCTGAAAGTAGACAAAGGTATAAAGATATCTCTCAGTATCGGTATTTCAAACCATAATGCCCAAAAGGAGAGAGAAAGAGAGAGAGAGAGAGAGCTTGCCATAGAGGCAGGGGGCAGGGGCGGGAGGGTAACTGGGGACATTGGTGGTAAGAAATGTACACAGGTGAAGGGAGGGTGTTGGAACATTATAAGTTCCTTTCTCTTTCCCACTGGATTTATATGATAGCATAATCTTTTAATTAAGCTAAGGCAACCTTTTATAAAGTTTCATAAAGTTAAACTCTTATAAACTTTTTAAAAGTTAACTCTTGGGCTGGAGCAGTAGAACAGTGGGTAGGGCATTTGCCTTGCATGTGGCCAAGCCAGGTTCAATCCCCAACATCTCATATGGTCCCCCAAGTACCGCCAGAAGTGATTCCTCAGTGCAGAGCCAGGAGTAACCCCTGTGCATCGCCAGGTGTGACCCAAAAAGCCAAAAAAAAGTTAGCTCTTAATTACTTTCAACACTATAGAATTTAAAACATTCCCCATATGGATTTTGGCAAAAGAAAAAAGTGAAAGGGGATATGCCTCAAAAAATTTAATCTAGTATATTTGGATCTAAATGATGAAGTTTGTTTTAATAGATAAAATCAGAATTACAATGTGTTGACTAGTGGGAAAGGACCTTCAAGGTCATGGGTTCTCAAGGAAGATACTCTGATTTTTAGATGCAGGGCCTTGCTACCACAGAAATGATAAGAAGGAAACCAGGATGATGTATTTACTTGTCCTTTTCTTGCTTTCTCCTTAGTGTTGAGATAATAAGATTGGGTAACAGTTACTATATCAACTGGGATCGGAAAATGTATTATGTGCCAAAGAATATACCAGCACGGGCTCGTACGACCACCCTTAATGAGGAGCTGGGCCAAGTTCAATATATATTCTCCGACAAAACAGGAACCCTGACTCAGAACATCATGGTTTTCTCCAAGTGTTCTATTAATGGGATATCATATGGTATGCATGCCTTCTCCTTTTCCTGAGTTACCTAGGGAAATTCCACTAGGACTTTTGTGCATATTGTTTTTTAAGAATAATCTAGGTCCATATCTATACAACTCTGAAATTAATATTTCTCTTTCATTTGCACAAGCTTCTTTATTTACTAAGATCACCCTTCAGTCTAATTAAACATTTATTTTACAATTTATAATTGCAATTCTTTAGACACTGGAAATACCAAGATGTTTAAGACTTAATCTCTATCTTCAAGGAATTCCCAATGTCAGAAATATCAGTTCACTCTTCTTAAATCAAATGGAGACCACAGATCAATGAAGCTGCTGATCTAATTCCCCCTCAGAACAATAAACAGACATTGAAGACTGCTTCAAAGAATAGTCAGAATATAGTGCCTCCTACACTCAAATTACTCATCTATGCCATAGCTTAACCATGAGCTTGTTTTTGTGATAGTGTTATATTCTGATGTGTCTAAACGTTTATGCCCAGGTGCTAAGGAACAGAAGAAGGTGATCATATCTAGAGGACATGCAGTATTTTATAAGTGGTGAAAAACTTTCAAACTAGAGAAATAGGTTAGTTATACAACATAGTAAACACATTAAATACTCTTGCACTCTATATTTTTAACACATTTAGCACAGATTGCAATGTCAAGCATGTATTAAATGGTGAGTTTTATGTTGTGTAAATGTTTTCTATATAAATTAAAAATCATTTTAGTGGATGGAGAGATAGTGCAGCTGGTAGGGCAATTGCCTTGCACACAGCCAACCTGTATTCAATCCCCAGCACCTCATATGGTTCCCAGAATCCCACCAGTAGTGATCTCTAAGTGCAGAGCCAGGAGTAAGACCTGAGCACTACTGAATGTGGCTCAAGAACCAAAAATAAATAAATTATTTTTAAATGTTTAAATCTAGAGCACTCTAATATTTATTTTCCCCTGACAACCAGGTTTTCCTATGTAAAAACTATGAAAGTTGATTTTTAGAGGATTTCATTTGAATGAGGATCTTAATTCTCTGACTCGCTGTAAGACTTGACCACACTTTGGGGAAGGTTGGAAACTGTCCTGGGTGCTTCTGAGCTTGGCACCAGTCATCCACCCCAATTCTGTCCCTTCCACTCCTGTAGCAATGTCTGCTGCACTATCTTTTTTGTTTGTTTGTTTGTTTTGGAGGCGGGGACATTGGGCTACATCCAGTGATGCTTAGGGTTAGTCATGGCTCTACACTCAGGAATTACTCTTGGTGATGCTCAGGAGACCTTGTGAGATTCTGGAGATCAAACCCAGGTCAGCCACATGCAAGGCAAATGCCCTACACACTGTACTGTCTCTCCAGCCCAGCAGCTGCACTGTCTTTATCCCCTAAACATTTAACACAATTTTCACATTTCTTCTAGGTAAATTTTCTGATTCTAGGGATTTTCTGAAGTCTCTGTAGATCCAGTGACTAACCCCTAGTATTCTCATTTCAAGGGAAAAAGTTAGGGCCTAACCTTACTCTTGACTTAGAGAAAGGAGCAGACTGGAGCATTGAGAATTTTTTTTCTTTTTGAGTCTGCTTGACTACAAATCTAGTTTGATAGAATCAAAAGGGGGAAAAACCTCCTTTAAATTACTATATGACTCAGTGATTCCTTTACTTATTTATTTAATTTTGGGTTTCAGTGGTGGTGCTCAGGGGTTACTCCCTGTTCTGTGTTTGGTGATCACTCCCAGAAGTGCATAGAGAACCAGGCCTCCCACGTGTATTGAACCATTCCTCCAGACCCTGTTCCTAAATTTCTACCAAAATAAATGAAAACACAGATTCAAGTTGCCAGTGTTCATTGTAGCATTTCAGAATAGCCCAGTCTGTAACCTACTGGTGGAGCACTTGCTATGTGTGAGGTCCCTGAATTCTATCCATGGCAACACCAAAACCAAACAGAACAAAAACATATAAACAGACCAGTCCAAATGTAGAAATGACTCATGTATCTTATCAACAGATAAATGATAAAACAACTGTGATGTTACTTATATCAGAGAATATCACCATTATACAAAGTAATGAAGCTTTTTGACCCATGCCACAACATAGATAAATAGTGAAAACATTTTACCAATTGAAATAAACTAGACATAAAAGAAAAAATGACTCAACTTACATAAAATATCTAGACTAGACAAGTTCAGACAAAAAGTAATTAGACATCAAAGGCTGGGAGTAGGGAGAAATCAAGTATTTCTGCCTAGGATTCTGAAAAAGTTGCAGAAATATAAAATAATAGTTGAACAATATACAGTACTGTCAGTGTAATTAATGCACTGAACTGTATACTGAAGAAATGATTAAAATATGAGTGGCAGAGTGATAGTATACTTGGTAGGGCATTGTCTTGCATGCAGCTGACCCAGGTTCAATCCCTGGCCCCCATGTGGTTCCCCCCAAGCCATCAGGAAAGATCCTGCACACAGAGCCAGGAGTAAACCCTTATCACTGCTGGGTGTGGCCAGAAAAAAAGATTAAAATGGGAAATTTTAGGTATATGTGTATGTGTGTTTTTTTTTATGTAGGAGTACTGCTATTTATTCAGCCACTGATTAGCTGATTGATTTGGATATAATCAATTTGGGTATAATCAAACTCCACCTTACTTTTTTTTCATAGTTTTATTTATTTTTCTTCTTATATTTATTTATTGAATCACTGTGGGAAAAGTTACTAAGCTTTCAGGTTTAAGTCTCGGTCATACAATGATCAAACAGCTCTCCCTTCACCAGTACTCATTTTTCACCACCAAGAACCCCAGTAAACCCCCCTTCCCACCCCTCCCAATGCCTGTGAGGTAGATGATTTCCACTTAACTCTTCTCTACACTGATTACATTCATATTACAACAAAAGATGCATCATTATTGTTTAGAATTTCCCTCCCAACAATCAGAATTGCTGAAAAGACATTGTGAAATACTTTGTTTTCTATAGCTAGTTATGAGAATCATATAATGATTTTGGATTTCTGCAAAGAGCCAGATAATTACGAGATTGGTTTCTGGACATCTGGTGTTATGGCTGTTCCGGAGAGCCGCTTGTGGGGGGCAACTTGTGACCTCGGTAGGGCATGAAAGATGAGCCGGTACCTCCCCTCTCCCCATGAGACTGCAGTTGCCCTGTCACCACCAGCTCATACCTGGCTTTCCTATAAGCTCTGAGGCGGTACTGTCCCCCTTCCCATGAGACTGTAGTTGCCCCTATAAGCTCTGAGGTGGCTGCCACCTTGTATGCGGTCCAGATGCATTTCTGCCAAAAGCTGCTGGGTTTTGAGATTTGTTTCTGAGTCTCTGGGATCATGGCCATTAATCAACTTGATCAGGAGCCAGAGAGGCCATTTGTAGGTGGTGTGACTCAGGGTCTCGCTGGGATGGGGAGGAAAGGGCTGGTTCCACCCCCATCTGGTGAGGCCCTGCGTGTCTGGTCACTACAGGCCCAAACCTGACTGTCCAGTGGCCTCTGGAGGATGGTGGTCACCGGGCTGCCAAGGGGAACAGGCCAAGGCACAAAACCTATTCCCACCTGGAGTGGCCCAGCACCAGTAACATACTGCAGGAATAGGACGCATTTCTGCCAAAAGCCTTTGGGTTCTGAGATTCGTTTCTGAGTCTCTGGAATCATGGCCATTAAGCAGTTCAATTAGAAACCAGAGAGGCCATGCCTCCACTTATATAGCTGAGCCGGAGGTGGTTTGTGGGTGTGTCTCCCACATACCTAACTTTTGGCCATTTACTTTCTTGGTAAACTTTGCCCCAAGTTTTTGGGGTCTGACCAAAGGCATAGCAGCAATTTTGGGATATCTGAAAGTCTGACAGTGCCATCAGGCTGCTGATACACTCACCTCACAGGTACAGATTGACCTGTTGGCGGCACCATACCCCCTAGGTATATGTTTTTAATTGTAATTAAAAAAAAAGTTTAATCCTTCTTTAAAACCCACACCACTGCTCTATTTCCTTACCAACAGGTCCTATCACTGACAAGGATGAAGTGATGAATATCACTAAGGTGAGTGATTACACCCCTTAGTGAGATGCTTTCAGAAACTGGCAAGACCCTAGCTACACAGAAGTATTTTTAATACAAATTGAGACTCCTTAGTGTCTGAAATATTAAAGTTTTTACTAGCTTCATTATCTCTGAACTTTATTTATAAATGACAATATTTAATTTTAGAGGATTTGGATTTGTGCTTTAAAATAAATATATCTATTGATCTTTATTTAAAAAAATATGTAAGGAGTCTTGAGATGACTGAGCATCAAAAAGCTCCTATCTTTCAACCATCGAGTTGTAAGTTCAATCCCCAGTTCCACCCACATGTGTCAAGTACAATCTGGGCCTTTTTGCTCTCTGGCACTCCCCTGATAGCTAATTATTAATAGCTCACTATCAGAAAAAAATCACCAATAGAGTATGAAATCTTCAGCATGCACAGCCAGAGGTATTTGAGCACTGCTACTGAAGTGTGTGATCCCCAGCAACCACCAAACCTAAAAAGTTTGTAAGCATCATGCCAGAATTTCAAACCCCCAGTGCAGACATGTGCAAGCGTCTCAAAGGGTGCAGTCCCTGGCAAACACCAAACCAGACATGTAACCCCTGGCAAGCAGCATCACAACCAACAGTACATACCACAACCAAGCCTGTGTCTGATCCCTGGTCATTTCAATAACAGAAGAAGGGGTAGGGGGAAATCACCATCACCATCATTATTGTCATCATCATTCATGGGCTATGGATGAGACTCAGTGATAGAGCACATGTATTACACGCATGATGCCCTAGGTTCAGTCTCCTTGCATTACAAACTAAACAAACAACAGCAAATGTCCCACACTTCTTCTCCCACTCCTCCCCCCTCACTCCACCCCCTAGAAACCACAGCAGGAAGGAAGGGAGAGTCGAGAGAGAGAGGGATGAATAAAAATAGATAGCTCACTATAAAAGTTTCCAACCAACATACAGATCTGTGAGGAAGAAAGTTCAAATAATTTGATCCTGAGGCCAGGGATATAGTACAGGGTTAGGCCTCCAGGGCCATTCCCAGTGGTCCTCAGGGACTACCAGATGACTTTCAAATCCATATATCCAAGGAACCATTCAAAGCTCCTTCCCCCGTCATCACCAAGGCATAAAAAATCATATAAAAATTTTTAGAGCTGGGAATGTGGATCAGTAGCACCTCACATGTCTTAGACCCTTTGATCCTCAGCACACAAGACATGCATGCATATACATACATACTATTTATAGCTGTATCACAACATCACAAAGAATTCTCCCAATTGTCGCCTCTACTCTCCATTCTGAACCCACTTCCTCTCAGCTGATATCTCAGGTGAGATTTCTATCCTTTTGACTCAACTGGATTTGTTTTTCTACTTTTTTTAATTGGATGTTTGGCTTTCAACTTTAGTTATCTATAAAAATATTCTCACTGTCCATTCAGGAGCTAAATTTGAAAATGTAAATTTATTCATAAATCCTTCTCATTCACTCCTCATATTCCTGGCATATCAGTTCAGGCCCCCAATGTTTTCAAGCCATCTCTTTGTATTTATTTTCTCTATTTCATCACTTCTCTAGTAAATAACTCACTGGCCTCCTAGTCACAAATTGTTCTTTAAGACACCAATGATTTGGCACAGTGGTAGAGCATTTACTTGCTTTGCATATATGAGGTCTGAAGTTTGATCCCCAGAACCTCATGAATCAAAACAAAATATATTTTCCTTGTTGGGAAAATATAAATATATAAAATCCTCTTAAGGATTTTCTCTGACACAATTATAATTATGTCACTTACAACAGAAAATTGCTAGGCCCCCCTGTTGTATCTAAGTTGGTAATGCAAAATTTGTTTTTTGACTCCTTACTAGTTTCTCTCATCACTGACCAGTTCTAATTTCAAAGAATGTGTCATAAGAATCCAATTCTACAAGAACCTCGAGGAATGCTATATGAGTTTTTCTTAAATTTCCCAGCCTATAAGTTTCTCTATTCTAATTGACCCTGTCGAGGGTTTGGCTCTGAGCCTATTTTCTCATGGCTATGACAAAATTCCCTTTAAGGAAGATCTAGAAAGTCAGTGTAGCTAACTACAAACTTACCTTTCCCAGCATAGCACCAAATAAGACAAGTATTTCTCTACGTGACGTAACAATGTCCAAAGCAGGTAATAACACAACTACAAAGATCTAGAGGAATGTGCTTGAGAATTCTAGGATTGACTAGAGAAATCTTTTAATAGCATCATGCTTCAGAGTGGGAATAAGATAGTTTTGGACCCAATTTTAACAGAAAAAAAAAGCCTGAAGCAAGGTTTAAATATAAAATATGAGTCAACCTCTAAAGGAGCCAAGGTCATAGCCAGGAAAATGGTAGTGAATGCTACCTTCAAAAGTTAAGGCAAGGCTGATGACCATGATGACTATAAGCAGGAAGGAATCGATTATGTTAACAGATCAAGAAAACTGGTTTAAAGTTAAGTCTGTGAACAACAGGAATATACTGAGTCCTCCTTGTTATAAGGCATTACCTCTATATTGCAAATACTGCAAATTGCTAGCCTACCTGAGGGTTTAAAAGAAGTAAGGTAACATGGTGATGTTATTTTACCTATGATTTAGTACTCTTTCCCAGCTCCCAGAACTAGCCAGAGATAAAGACTTTTTCCAGAAACTATTTACTAATAAGGAACAATACTCACTTGTATCCTCAGGTTTGATTATCATGAATTTGAAGGAAAGGACTCAAAGATGTTTGGTGATCATTCAGCATGGTTGGGATAGAAAGTGGGCAAAGGGTTAATTGTCTTCTGTGGAGCTACCAAGGCCATTTATCTTGCTTTGCTTTTCCCATCCTCCTAAGAGTTCTTTTCACATTCTAGATATTTTTTGTTTTGCCATATTCTAAGTACTGATAAGTTTGTTCTCCCTTACATATTACAGAAAACAGAAAGGGTCGACTTCTCCTTCAACAAACTAGCTGATCCTAGGTTCTTTTTTTATGACAAGAGTTTGATGGAAGCCATACAACAGAAAGATCAGCATGTGTGCTTGTTTTTCCTCTCACTGTCATTGTGTCATACTGTGATATCAGAAAAGGAAGTAGAAGGTAAGGAGGGGCCTAGATCTCATGGAATGAAACTATGCCCTAGCTTAGACTGGTTGGAAGAGGGGGTGGTTTGGTGTCATTTGTAATGCTTGACCTAAGAAGGAATATTTCAATAGGCAGTATTCCTCAGCAATGAAATGGATATATTCAATGTAAGTAGTGAGCTTCCATTCATTAGAGATATTAAGATAACAAACAATCTTTATGGTCTTGAAGATTCAGGCATTGGTACTCTCTAGAGAGCTTGAATTTCTTCTTTTTTTGTTATTTTTTTATGTGTGTGTGTGTGTGTGTGTGTGTGTGTGTGTGTGTGTGTGGTATTGGGATCATTCCCAGCACCTCCCACCTCCCACTTGCAAGGGAGCTTCTGATATGAATATGCTCTGTCACAAAGTACACCTGAATTGTACCCTAGATCAACCCCACTATTTGATGAGACTTCCTGAAAAACTGAGTTGTCATTCTTTTGTCATTTAACAATTTAAAGGTATCCACACAAATCTGAGTTTTTTTTTAGTAACCAATTATGACAGTGCCATCCATAAATATATCTTTTTAGAAACAATGATAAATGACTAATTGTTAAGATTATTCTTCCCTTCACCGGGGCTCCTCAGATGGAGCAGGTGTCCCCTCTTCACCCACTCCAGAGAAACCCCCGGTGGCCACAAACTTTCAGAAGAAAAACCCAGGTATGCGAGAATGGGCTCTAAAGATGCCAGGCCACATGGCAGTCCCTTCCCATCTCCCTGCCCCTTCGGGATCCTGGCTGTCATGCCCACAGACTGTCTCCAGGCCATATTTAAGTGCACCACCTTGATCCAGAGACTTACAAATGAATCTCAAAATGGATTACCTCCCTATAGTAATGTCTCTGGACCCCAATCATTTACATAATTAGAATTCCAGGAGTTCACAACCTCTTTTTGTGGCTGCGCAACCTCTGATGTTATTGACAATAAGCAATAGAAAATAAATTATCTTGAATCTGCCTGTGGCAGGCAGACTTGAATGGTGGTGGGGAAAATTCAAAATAATGATGTTGGGAAGGTGTAATGGTGGGGGATTGGTGTTGATATGTTGAATGTAATTAATGTGAACAACCTTATGAAAATAAAATTTTAAGAGAAGATTATTCTTCCCTTAAAAATCAAGAATTTAGCCTAATAGATCACATGCTTTAAATTCAGTATTCTCTTAATATCAGTAATAAAACTGTATTTTTATTACTCTTTACAGTTTTACAAGTTAATGTCATTTATATGACATTATGTCATTTATATGACATTATGTATCTCCCACAATCTTCAAAACAGTCCTCTGAGGAAAACTGAACAAAAAGATGAGTCTAGTTTTATAGAGAAGGAAACTGAAACTAGAAGAGATAAAAATAACTTTCCTAAATCAAGGTGGGAAGAAGAGAATAAGAAGTCATGGGTGAAACAGGCATCAGGGCTTCAGTTATTCCACTGATATGAGTGACTGGCATAGCCGTATATCTAAAACACAGACTCAAGAAAACTAAAAGTGTGAGATCTAAGCGGCAACTCTGAAATTTTATAATGTGTCTGGCAAGTTGACAGGCGCAGATAGGGTGGGGGCAGGGGTGCAGAGGGAATCTGGGAACACTGGTGGAGGGAAGTAGACACTGGTGGTGGGATTGGTGTTGAAATAGTATGCACATAAAATTCAACTCTCAATAACTTTGTAAATCACAATTTCTTAATAAATATTTTTTTAAAAAAGACTTTCCTAAAATCCCCTAGCTAGAAGAAGCATAGATAAAAAACCAATTCTATTATCTCCCAGCCCCAGAAGCTTCCACCCCAATCTAGGCCTCTCTGGGGCCCTTTCATTCCAATAAATTTTTATTCCTTGAAATATATTTGGACTCGTCTTTGTTTACTTCTCTGAGTAACATGTAAGGAAAGCATAAAAGAGAAAACTCATTATGCCACAAATAGATCCTGTATCTTAATTTAAAAGTGTATTCTCCCACCTACCTTATTTACAAGTATAAGACTCTGATGTTGTGTAACTTTTTTTTAAAACTAATCTAAAATGCACCTCAGATTACTGTGATAATCTAAAAGAGAATCCCAGAAATGTATTTAGTAATACTAGATCAAAAGATTAATTCTATAGAATGAGTCATTTAGCATCTCCAGGTGGAAGTTTCAAAGGTGATAATATTCATTTATTAATATACCTTAATTATTTGTTAAATCATCAATCTCATTATCTTATTGAGTGTTATCTTAAAAACCTTTCCTATCCAAAGTGGTTTACATAGGAACACCTGTTTGAGATTCACTCAGTTTTCAACCTTCCTCCCAGATTTTTGTGATTCTGGATTTAATATGTTTGCTAGAGGCCATGAACTATATTTTAAACAACCCCCTGAGCTGGAAGTTGAAGAGTAACTGGCTCTGTTTTATTTTTTGTGTGTGTGTACCTTGAATATACCATGTATCTCTTTTAACACTGACTCAGGCCTATGAAAGGAGTTGAAAACATTGGAAAGGAAAGTAAGACCTGTGAGAAGTTTTGAAGTGAGATGCTTCCTGTGCTCCATCTTTATATAAGCCACTTGGAGGATAGTCACTTCTGGACGGACAGTCACCCTGTTCTCTCCTTCCAGATAAGCTGATATACCAAGCTCAGTCCCCAGATGAAGGTGCCCTGGTCACTGCTGCCAGGAACTTTGGCTTTGTGTTCCATTCCCGCACCCATAATTCAATCACAATAGTCGAAATGGGGGAAACTAAAGTCTACCAACTGCTGGCTATTTTGGACTTCAACAATGTGCGCAAAAGGATGTCTGTTATTGGTGGGTGCTCCTACTGGTCAGTTCTCTCCTGTTACTTGGCTTTCATATACATTTATAAGTTTTCTCTTTTATTTGCACAAAATTTTTTTTTAAATTTTATTGAATCACTGTGAGATGGTTATAAGCTTTCATGTTTGGGTTACAATCACACAATGATCAAACACCCATCCCTCCACCAGTGCACATTCCCCACTACCAATATCCCCAGTATACCCCCCTTTCTCACCCTCCCCCTGCCTCCATGGAAGACATGATTCCCCATAATCTCTCTCTACTTTTGGGCATTATGGTTTGCAATACAGACACTGAGAGGTTATCATGTTTGGTCCCTTATCTACTTTCTGCACACATCTCCCATCCCAACCGGTTCCTCCTGCCATCTTTTTCTTAGTGATCCCTTCTCTATTCTAGCTGCCTTCTCCCCTTTGCTCATGAGGCCAGCTTCCAGCTATGGAGCAATCTATCTGTCCCATGTATCTACTGTCCTTAGGTGTCAGCCTCATGTTAAATTGTTTTATACTCCACAAATGAGTGCAGTCCTTCTATGTCTGTCCCTCTCTTTCTGACTCATTTCACTTAGCATGATACTCTCCATGTAGTTCATGACTTCATCTCTGCTGATAGCTGCATAGTACTCCATTGTGTAGATGTACCAAAGTTTCTTTAACCAGTCATCTGTTCTAGGGCACTTGGGTTTTTTCCAGATTTTGGCTTTTGTGAACGGTGCTGCAATGAACATATAGGTACAGATGTCATTTCTACTTACACAAAAATATTTTCGTCAATCACAAGTTGTCTCACAAGTGCCATCATATAAATTTGCAGCCATTTCTACTACTTCTCTCACATACTCTATGGTTTGGTTTTGCTTTTTCCTCACACATATATGAGGCTTACTATACTAGGACCCTTTTTTTTAAGCATTTCAGGGTAGTGACTAGTTATAACCCCCCAAAACTGAGATAAAAACAGAGAATAAATCCATAAAGTCTGAACTTAGAATAAAATATGGAAACAGATAATCAAGGATGATTTACACTATCTTGCTCTCAGTTTGGGCTTCCTTCTACAGAGGGAAGAAGGTATTCTTCATGCATTTTACTAGGTTAGTTGTTGGTCTGGGATTTGACTTGAGAAACTAAATTTGATTCAAGTCAGAGCCTTCTTTCCATGAAATAGAACCCATGGAAGAATTGCTTCCATGGGTCCTTTATACTCTCATCAGACCTCACGGCATGTGTGAAGACTCTAAGTACTTAGCCCTCCATAAATATTAAAAAGAAATGTCATGGGAACAGCCTTTGCCATCCCTCAATTATCTAGACAAGTTCTTATATTGATAAGCCTCTATGGTTATTTTGCTTAATTTGTTTATTCCTAGTAAGAACACCTGAAAATCGGATAATGTTGTTTTGCAAGGGTGCAGACACCATCATCTGTCAGCTGCTCCATCCATCCTGTAAATTCCTCAGAGACGTGACCATTGGACACTTAGATGTAAGCATTTAAGTTTCAGAAAAGCGAAGCTGTGGATGTTTCTCTGTCTCTGGACATGTGACTACGTATATGGCTCTATGTCAGTACATTTCTTTATGGATGTATGTTAGTGTTTGTGTCTCTTTAACTGATGAAACAAGAAAAATAACTGGATGTTGCCTGGGAAGATTGCTCAAGTGGTAGAGTCCTGTGTTTGATGGCTGGCAGCATATGGCCTCCCAAGTACTCCTGAAAGTGGTTCTAGTGAGTGAGCCCAGAGCCTCACTGGCATAAGCACCAGCAGATGTGATCCCTATTTTTTAAATTACTGTATCCTATAGGATTCTCTCTGACAGTAGTGCTGACTTTTGTTTAAAGGAATTGTATGGCCCAGGATATCATGGACATGATATGAATCATGTCTGTGGAAACACATGACAGTAGTAGAAATGGCTGTAAGTCCCTGGGGGAGCTTCAGCACAAGCTTTGCATGCAGGAACCTCAGGTTCAATCACTGGAACCTCATGGTCTCAGAGCACTGAACTAGAATGTAGCCCATAAGCACTACCAGTTGTGGCCCCAAAACACAAACAGCAGCAACAAAGAATAATTCTCTTTATGATTTCCATTATCATATCAAAAAAATGAACACCAAGGATAAAATAAAAAGTAGGTATCATCTAACAATACCACTCATTATCAAAGGACCACACCCATCTACCACAGGTCAGCTTACTTCACAGAGACATGTATACTGCATGTGATACAGGGACATCTGCTCCTCCTCCTTGATTTGTAATTAGATAGCCCCTAGCCCCCAGGCTGGCTTACTGCGAGGAAACAAGGGTTTTGATTGGAGGATTCACCAAAAGATAAATTTACTCCAATGTCTGTAGCCTAGTTTATAGATAACCCAGAACTGCCTAGGTGACACAGTAAGAGTAGCCAGGATTCTATAACATTGGGGATAAATATGAAGCTTAATTAAAGAGCTTTGTGAACTCTGAAGAATGGCTATCCAGTGTGAATTGCAATCACCCCCACCGCACCCCCACTGATCCTTCTCCAACACTTTGCAGTACCTCAGTTATTATTTAGAGTAAGTATTTTATTACTTTATTTATATGAAATGTCTATTACATGCAGATTTATAAAAATGGAAAATAGATAAGTGGTTTCCTTCTCCTAGAAAGCTAGGAGAATCTAGTGAGATGACTCTAAGGGCTGAGGTTGATCTCAGCACCCTATGGTCCACTGAGCACCACAGGGAACAACCTCTAAGCACTGAGTCTTAAATAGCCTGGAGAATCCCTGAACACCCGTGGATATGGCCTCCAAATCAATAAAAGAGATACTATCTCACACACAAGAATACTTTGGCAATTGCCTCATTAATACTGTTGCCTCAACCTGAACCAACCAGCTAGATAATACATATGTGCCCATTTGTTTATTTGTGTATATTTGAAATGCCCATTGGGTATTTGAAAGAAGGCAGGAAGAGAAGAAAACAAAACATATGCTTATAAAAATGGTAACACCATTGATTATTTTATAAGTTTATTCCTCTTTTTAATTATTTACATATTACATCATTATCCTCTCTGAAAGAGATGCCAATTTTTAAAGAAAAAAATCTAGAAGAGTTGATTCTCGCTGCCCCTCCCCCCATCACCAGCAAAAATCACATAGCATTCACCTAACTACAACTAAAAACTAGAACCTTCTATCTCTCAAGAGTACTCAGGAATTCATCCCTTGCTATGCTGGCTCTATCATTGAGGCATTTTGCTGAGAAAGCTCAATGCTTGCTTGTGGGTTGGGCTAGATAGTAGTCGCATGATAAAGATCATTAAACCTCATTCTGTGGTCAGATGGCATCTGTGCAGTTCAGCTTCCACTCCCTTGCCCCATCTCTAACAGTCCCCATATACTGGGTCCACACACTTGTCTTTCAGAATTTTGCCAGTGAAGGCCTTCGCACCCTCATGGTGGCCTACCGAGAGCTGGATGAGGCCTTCTATGAGACCTGGAACGAGAAACACAGTAAAGCTTTCCTGACTTGGGAGAATCGAGAAAGTGAAATAGCATTTGTCTATGAAGAGGTCGAAAAAGAATTGGTGGTTAGTGTGACAAAGCCAGCAACACACTAAGGGCAGTATGGGAGTTGTTAGTCCGCAACTGAAAAAGAGATCTAAGAATGGCTTCCAGATGATCAAAAGCTTGAGGCTCAGTATATCCAGGGTCTTTGAATCTGTTAATAATGATAAAAGATACTAGTAAATTTCATCTTTCTGGCAGTGTTTCTTATCCCAAAGCTGCTCATAGAAGATATATAATCTACAGATGCCAGGATTTGGATAATGTATAAATTAAATAGTCTAGAGCCATTTGATAGAATTATCAAGGCAAAAATATTCACTCATTAGTTCAACATTCACTTGTTAAGTGACACCTATGTACTGTTTTAAACCCTGAGCATGTAGCACTAGGCAAAATAGATAAGAAAATAAGTTTTCTTTGGGGGATACACACACAAATAAAAGAAAAGCAAAAATAATAAGCTAGATGGTAAAAGTGTTATAGGGAATAAAATAAAGCTAGAGAATGCCGTGTGTGTGTGTGTGTGTGTGTGTGTGTGTGTGTGTGTGTGTGTGTAAGGGAAGAGTATAGTTGTTATTTTAAATTGATAGCATAGTTCTCACTGTGAAGGAGACATCTGAGCAGAGTCCTGAAGAAGATGGCAAGCCAAACAGATCCCTGATTTACTTTCCAGACAGACTGTACAGCAAGCCCATAGACCCAAAAACAGGGTAGGCCTTGATTGTTAGTTGAACAGCAGTGCATCTTCCATGGCATTATGGAAGTATTGACAGAAAGAAAGCATGGTGTTTGACAAAGATGCTTATAAAGGATACCTTAAAGAGTACTAGTATGTAGAATCAAATGAAATTCACCCAAGTTCTCGTAAGGTGAAAGAAATATGAGGATTCCTTGTCTAAATCCAACTTTTGGATTCCAATGTCAGGAAACATCTTATATAAACAAGGGCAAAGCAGTTTTGAGAATCAGACAATTTAGAAACAACACATAGCATTATCTGTGACCTAAGCAAGTCTTTTCCCTCTATGATTTATAATTTTCTATTCCTAAATTTTATTTTAGTGTATGATTTAAAAGTCATTGTTGTTAAGAGGCAAAATGCACTGAATGTTATATAATTGGGAACCTCATGCAAGGATAGAGCCAGCTTACTAAAAAGGATGTTTGTTGAGGTGACAGTTGAATGATACTAATGATCTGATTCTCTTTTTTTTAATGACTTATATTTATATTTGAAGCTACTAGGGGCCACAGCCATAGAAGACAAGCTGCAGGAACACGTACCTGAGACAATTATTAGCCTACACAAAGCAAATATTAAAATATGGGTTTTGACTGGAGATAAACAAGGTAAAAGAGGAGCTCTTTACCTGATGGATCTTCTTTCCTGTCCATATTAGTCATTTACTTATTTTCTTTTTCTTTTTCTTTTTCCCTAACAATTTATTTAATAATGTCCCAGGTCAAGTTCTTATGGGATATCTTCACTCCCAACCTTATATGCACTTTGATAAATATAAATTTTATGCAGTATTAGGCATTCTAGACATGTATTAATCAATCAATTAATACATACCTTTTCATTTAGGAACTTACAGCTTTAAACTTAATAGTCTTTGACTACACACGGTCTATTCCAAAAATTTATTTTTCTTACCATGCCCTGCCAATCACTCTGAAACTCCTCTTGATTATGCAACAGACTTTGCTCAGTTTGTCCTCTATTATCTGTATCCTGAAAAAAAATCTGAACTTATCTGTCTTTTGCTCTTACTCATTTAAGCATAGTTTACAAATATTAGTTTGATACTCCTAAAATATACCACTTTTATGATGTTTTCCTTTACTCAAATTATCTACAGTTACTCCATGTGATAAAAATGAACTTCTCTGTTGCCTTCAACACCTTGATAATCTATTCCTATCTTTCTATCTTTATATTACCATTATCTTTAACACAGCCAAACAAACCAGTTCCTAGAGCTGGAGAGATAGCACAGCGGGTAGGGCTTTTGCCTTGCATGCAGCTTACCCGGGTTCAATTCCCAGCATCCCATATGGTCCCCTGAGCACCGCCAGGAGTAACTCCTGAGTGCAGAGCCAGGAGTAACCACTGTGCATCGCTGGGTGTGACCCAAAAAGAAAAAAAAAAACAATTCCTGTTCTTGAGACTCTGGGTTGTTTCCCCATTTGAATTTTTTCTTCCCCTAAACAAATATTACTATCCATCAAGGCCTTCTTCCAAAACAGTACCCATAACAACTGCTATTTCTGTTCTGAATGTGGATAGTATTTGTAGCCAGTGGACTTATTTTTTTTAATATTTTATTCTGTCTCTCTGTCTGTCCTCCCATTGTGCATTGATTTGCTCAAGCAGGCACCAGTAACGTCTCCATTGTGAGACTTGTTGTTACTGTTTTTGGCATATCGAATACCTCACAGATAGCTTGCCAGGCTTTGCTGTGTGGGCGAGATATTTTGCTGGGCTCTCTGAGGGGGGCAGAGGAATTAAACCCGGGTCGGCTGCATGCAAGGCAAATGCCCTACCCACTGTGCTGTCACTCTAGCCCAATTTTTTATCAATAAAATAAATTCTATTAATTTGTTACTGTGAGGTACAGTAACAAAAATCTCATGTTTGAACTTTGACCATTCGATCATCAAACACCCATCCCTTCACCAGTGCACTCTTTCCACCACCAAAATCCCTAGGTTCCCCCCACCACATTCCACACCTCCCCCTGCCTATATGGCAGACAATTTGCAAAATATTCTTTCTCTACTTCAGTTACCTTTGATATTTCAAGACTAGTCCTACAACTTCTCATTCCTGTTGAAAATGCAATGCTAGACAATGTGATTTGTATTGCTTGTTATGGATAAAATATAATGTCATGCGGCCACAAGAGCAGCCACGCTTTCAAGGAATTCTAAGATTTTAATAATTAGGGTCTGAAGAAATCGCTGCAGCATGTTGCTGGGGTCCAAGATTTGTTTTTGTGTCTCTGGATCGTGGCCACATGGGAGCTTACGTAGATTGTGGGCAGTTATGACATCACCTCGGCATCCTATCGGGATGGGAGGAAGGAGGACCCACTCCTCCCCTGTCCCAAGAGACTTGGGGTTTGCCATCACCCCAAACTCATACCTGGTGCTTCTCACTGGCTTCTAGAAAATGGCGACTACTGGAGATCTTAGAGGACAGGCAGAGGGACAACACCCGTCCCCATCTGGAGCAGTCCAGCAGAGAAGGCCTTTTGCAAAGTCCAGGGCCATCTCTGCCAAAAGTTGCTCAGATCCGAGATTCATCTGTGTGTCTCTGGATCGTGGCCACGTGGGAGCTTAAGTAGATGGTGGGCAGATGTGACATCATCTTGGTGTCCCATCAGGGTGGGGGGAAGGAGTGGACTTAATTTTTTTATTACCTCCTTAGTTATAAATGTATTCCAAATTCAAGGTTTCTTAAAAGAATAAATGAAAATTTAATATAAATATATTATTTATTATAAATAAATAAATATAAATTCACATAAAATCTAGTATAGTGGGCTGAGGATGTGGCTCAGTGGTAGAGCACATACCTTGCATTGGGGTTCACTACCCAATGCCACAACAAAAAGAAAAAAATGCCTGACATAGAAATTGGTATGGTAATATTAAATAAAATGCATCTATCCTAATTGATATAAACTAAAATTATTTCAAGAAACAAAAAGACTTTGTGGAGAAGTATAAGTCAGATTGGTCTTAATTAATGATGTTACTACCAAGTCTGTACAAGTATAAGTCTCCTTTGACTTGAATATCATCTCCACCGACTCATGAAAATTAAAATTTTAGCTGCATTCAAGACAAACATGGAAAAATGGGTCCCACATTCCACTGTTAGAGCCTCTGTACACTGTGAAAACCTAGCCCTAATGTGATCTGTGTTCCCCCTGCCCTGCAGAGACAGCTGTGAACATTGCTTATGCTTGTAGAATATTTGAGAATGAAATGGATGGCATATTCACTTTGGAAGGCGATGATTATGAGACTGTTAGACAAGAACTCAGGTACATATGGGAAGATGGCCACAGTTTCTTCCTCAATTCAAGATTTCCCAGATCCATCTCAGTACCTGCTATGGGTCTCAAATTCCAAGAAGGAGCAGAAAATAACTGTATTTTAAAAAAAAAACCTAAACAAAATACTTGAAAGAACTTTGTGGCACATTAAGGAGTTGGAGTATAAGAGGGAGAGAAGTGTGAAATGGGGCACCAAAGGCCGAGGCGCATCTTGGGAGGCTGAGGTCTCCCTGGCTTCACAGTGGCCCTATACCCACATTGGACACTTTCCCTCTGGGGCACATTTCTCTTCCTAAGGTCTAGGACTTTGGTTCAGATTCTAACAAGTACTCTTTGCTTTCAGATCTGCAAGGGATCAAATGAAAATTGAAAACAACTCAGAATCGAATTCTTTCACAATGGAGTCAAAAATGTCTGATAGTCACCCTGATGAGATGTCCAGGGGCAAATACGGCCTGGTCATCAGTGGCTGCGGTCTGGTGGGCAAAACAGAATGAGAATACTGTTCTCTTCTTCCAAGGAACTTTTTCCTAGGTCCAACCCACTTCTGGGAAATTTCAGTCCCTTGCCCCGTGAATCACCTTATTCTCCCTCCCTTTGAGTACCCTTGCCTGACAGACTTTTTCCCAGTCTTCTGTAGAAATATAACAGCAACAATAATAATAATGAGGAGGAGGAAGAAACCAATGTTTTACTTATCCAAATGCTTCATAACTTATATGGTCTGTCACTAGGGGTAAAGGAGAGAGAGCAGAGCCAGTTCTTCAAAAATGTCACTTGGACTTCTGGCTCTTTTCGCTGCTTTGATTCTGTGAGGGCCCCTAACTATTTTCCCACTGGAGACTGGATCAGAAATGAGGATGCCTAGAACTGACTTGGCCTCCTTGTGGGTAGAACCCCTTGGGAGCAGCTTTGCCTGACCTATACGTAGTACAGGCACATGTAGATGGGAGGGGAGGGGCCTTAGAAGATCCTTTATTGAGTCTTTTGGGGTAGCCTGAAGGCTGGGTGTGTCCTGGTCTACAGGCCCGTGCTCTAGAAGGGAACATGGAGTTGGAACTGCTGCAGTTGGCGTGCTTGTGCAAGGGTGTGATATGCTGTCGGATGACACCCCACCAGAAGGCCCAGATGGTAGAGCTGGTGAAGAGGTACAAGAAGGTGGTGACACTGGCCATCGGGGATGGGGCCAATGACGTCAACATGATAAAAGGCATGTGAGGGGTAGGAGACAGTAGCCCCAAGCCATGAGCTTGTTCTTTCCTTTCTCCCATAACAGAACTGGTTGCACTGGCTGGCTCTTGCTTCTGCATTTCAAATGCATTATACATATGTGTGTGGGAAGGAGGGTGCCCAAGCAGTGTTCAGGGGTCCTCAGGACCTTTACCAATGCCAACCAGGTCAGCAAGGTCAAGTGAGGGTCCAGGGATGCAATGATGCTGAGGGCTATAGTAAGTACAAAGATCATCTAGGACAACTTTGAAGTACTAACTAGGCCAAGCATTGTTGAGTTACAGCATCAAAAAGTTCAAGGGACTGAAGAGTGCTGGTACACATGTTTCTAAGTCTAGAACCCTGGGTTCCATCCTTCACACTGCATGGTCTCCTAAGCACCATGAGGAGTGACCTCTGAGTCCTAAAATGGGTGAAGTCCCTAAGCACTCCCTGGGTGGCCAAACAAAAAAGCAAAATAAAGTACAGATGAAGGGGGCTGTAGTCTAACATGCAGGGGAAAGGCAATCCACTAAAGAGAACATACTCCCATTAGGAAGTACTAGTCTAAGCTGAGCCTAGCTGTGTTTTCCAAATGTGAAATAAGGGGTTTGTTCAACAAGAACACAGCCTTCTTTTATATGCTTCAGGCTGGGAACCCAGCAGACAAGTTCTGTGGCTGAGAAGCTTCTGGGGTTTCTTTGCAGCTGCTGACATTGGGGTTGGCATCTGTGGCCAGGAAGGAATGCAAGCCATGCTCAATAGTGACTTCTCCTTCAGCCAGTTCCACTATCTTCGGCGTCTCCTGTTGGTCCATGGCCGCTGGTCCTATATTCGCATGTGCAAATTTCTCAGCTATTTCTTTTACAAAAACTTTGCCTTCACTGTGATACACTTCTGGTATGCTTTCTACAGTGGATTCTCTGCACAGGTAGGTGAGTTGGCACTCTGGTCAACTGCATCTTCCCTTGTAATTCCCTTGCCCCAACTTTATACCCTTTTTTCTATAGTAACTAATGTGTGATACATGGTCATCCATCCTTAATACTGATACCGCCCCCACCCCTACACTTTACTTCATTGTCACTGTCATTGTCACTGTCCTCCCGTTGTTCATCGATTTGCTCGAGCAGGCCCAGTAACGTCTCCATTGGAGGCTTTGTTGTTACTGTGTTTGGCATATCGAATGCGTCACAGGGAGCTTGCCAGGCTCTGCTGTGTGGGCGAGATACTCTTGGTAGTTTGCCGCGCTCTCCGAGAGGGGCGGAGGAATCAAACTCGGGTCAGCCATGTTGGCTGCGTGCAAGGCAAACGCCCTACCACTGTGCTATCGCTTCAGCCGGGCGTGGTGGCGCGCGCCTGTAGTCCCAGCTACTCCGGAGGCTGAGGCCGGAGGATTGCTTGAGTCCAGGAGTCCTGGGCTGTAATGCGCTATGCCGATCAGGTGTCCGCACTAAGTTCAGCATCAATATGGTGACCCTCCAGGAGCGGAGGACCACCAGGTTGCCTAAGGAGGGGTGAACTGGCCCAGGTCGGAAACGGAGCAGGTCAAAACACTTTACTTCAGATTTCTAAATTCCCATTTTTTTTCTATGCCTTGGGCTTGATATTAACTGATCTTTTTTTCTGGAAGGGGTTGCATGGTGCTCGGGGGCTATGCTTGGCTCAGTGCTCAGGAGTGACCCCAGGAAGTGCTCATGGGACCATATGCAGTGACAGGGGTTGAACCAGGGTCAGCCACATGCGAACAGGCACTTTACCTCCTATACTATCTCTCTAGTCCCTAGGCATTGACTCTTCGAAACACTTCTTTAAAGTATCATACCATTTTTCTGATTTTGAGACCCAGAGTTTTTACACATAAATAATGGGGGAAGATGGGTGAATTCCTGGGTTTGCCGACAGCTTTAACATCTAAAGTAATCTTTATGGTTTGTATGTGCCTTGCCATACAAACCAGTTATAGGATTTTGTAGCCATACTGGTTGGGAAAACTGCTTCCATTTATTTCTCCTTTCCCATCCCAACATACATATCCCAAACACACAATTGTCCTCTGTTAAATTAATTCATATCCACATCTCAATACAAAATCCCTCCCAATAGACACCCTGATTTTTATGTTTTAAAGGGGGCTTTTTCTTATGAGAAGATTTTTCAAGAATTTCTCCAATATTCCCCAACAGGAACAACCTCAGTTATCTTTGATCATCCTTGCTGCTTTGGGGGAGCCCAGGGGAACAGCCCACAATATTAGATGCTTGCCCCTCTCTAGCCTAGCAAAGCTGTTCTGTAGTTGTCTATATGAATGTGTAACTGATGACCCCTTGTGGTTAGTATGGAAAGAAATTCCCTAGGTCTTTGCTTGTCAGTGTGAGAAAGTGTCTGGTGCTATCAGATGAGTATCATAAATCAGATAGAAAAGAGTCACACTGGAGCCTCAAGGCACCTGCGGCTTCTGGTGCACTCCCAGCTTCCTGTCCCTATCCCCTTGGTAATGGCTACTCTCTTGCCCCAGGGCTCCCTTCCACTTCTTGCTTCTCTGAATTAAATTTAAAGAGCATCACTATCTGCCCTTATTCCTTACTTGATTTCATAGTCATATTTTTTTTGGCTTTTTGAGTCTTTTTTTTTGGCTTTTTGATGCTCAGGGGTTGCTCCTGGCTCTGCAACTCAGGAATTACTCTTAGCAGTGCTTGGGGGACCACATGGGATGCCAAGATTCAAACCTGGGTCAACTGCATGCAAGGCAAACACCCCACCTGCTGTACTATTATTGCTCTGACCCCGCCAGATATTTTTGCTGAAAATTTTTTCCAATTCCTCTCCCCAAAAGGTGAGCTGCTATATTAGTAAATTGGAACAGACACTAACTTGGGGGCTTCAAATCAAATCAAACAGACTCTTCCTGTTAGGGGGTGCAAGTCTCAGAAACTCTTACTCCCACCCCTAGTCTGCAGAGAAAATGTACCCCCCCCACACACACACACCTTTCTCCCCCAATTCCCACACTGTTAGTGTGAGGTATTTCCTATTTTACCCAAAGCCCTCTGCCAGCCAACCCCTAGCCAACAATAAGGGTCTAAGCCAGGGCCTTCTGTCCACACTCCCTGACTCCATCCCACACGCCCCTAGGGAATACCAGATCCCCTTGCTGTCCACATACTGTAGCATTCATTCTTCATCTCCCTCACCTCTCATCCGTGGTAGTTTATGGGTATGATGGAGGTTTTTAAGATTATTATAAATCAGTACTTTAAAAAAGAGAAATAAAAGAGCTATGGGATTATATGCATGACAGAATTTTCCAAATCAGTCTTTAAGGGCTAGTCACAAATAAGCTTGATGTGGTCTTGTCTCAGATCTGGGGCCCAGGTCTGAACAGAATAGAGACAAAGAGAGACGGCCTCAGCCTTCTTAGATCTCTGAACTGTCTATCCTGCTTTAGATTTGTGTGGTGGTAGATGAGCCAAGGGGAAATGAGAACTAGAATGTCTTTTACCTGAGAAGTGGAAGTGGAACTTTAGATATCCTGAGATATTTAGATACCCTAAGATATCTCCTTGTATTCTTCCAGACAGTTTATGATACCTGGTTTGTTGCTTTCTACAACTTGATGTACACCTCCCTCCCTGTCCTTGGATTGTGTCTATTTGACCAGGTAAGATCACAACAAAACTTTCAGTCAGGACTTGAAGCCACTGGGCCCCTGATGAGTATTTGCCAAAATAAGGAGGATTGCAAAAGCTGAGTTCTACAAAATCAAATGTAAATGGAATAATTTCTAGAGCAAGGAAGGAATGCGTAGAGGTAGAATGGGATATTACCTAGAAACGTATCATGGGATAAAGAATTTTCCACAGAGTATAATCATCAGTTTCAGAAATCCAAATTTTCATTTTAACTTTGTAAAGGATAACATGAAAATTGTTCTAACAGGACAACTGATCCACACAACAAAGAGCGGTGAAAGGGTGGAAGGGGAGGTGACTAAAGAGAAGGGTGTTGGAAATGGGATAAATGTTCTTTATCCCACTGGTGATGGGTGTGGTGTTGGAACTGGAAGCTGTCATTAACACTATTGAAATCACACAACCCTAATCATTAAAAAAGAAGATTTTTAATAAAAAGAAAGAAATTTGTGCTATAAAATCAATTGGGTGAGGAAAAACAGTGAAAGGAAATAGGTATTGTGAAATAACCAGGTAAAGCAAGGAGCTTTAAGAAAGAAGGGACTCATACAGAGATAATGAGATTATTGACCAAATGCAGGAAGGTGTAGGTGAGTGTACTAAAGACCAAACCTGGAAATGTGGATAGAATATCTTGAATTAGAGAGATTACTTAAGGAATACCATCTGTAATATCCAGAAATCCCTGGGCATTGAGGGTCCTAATGCTTCTTAACTCTCTCTCTTCTTACCCAACCTCCAGTCCTAGCACCTCAAAAGAAAAATTAACTAGCTGAAATATTAAGATATCAAAGTTCCTGGTCTCCATCAGAGTAGGGAAAAAATCTCTGTCAAGTAATAACCAGTCTCAGAGCAGCAAAAGAAATGAGTTATGTCACTCAGTAGTCTTATCTAGGCTGGAGATGTGACACTTAGCATGTTTGAGGTCCTGGGTTTGATCACTGCTACTGCAAAAAGTAAATACACAGCGCCCCCAAATGTCCTATCCAGCTTCAGTGGTCTAGATATCTACAATCTCTCAAAACAAGTCCAGAGCTTTATTATCCAGAGTTTTAGATTTAGAAGGTAAAGATGATCCCGAGTTCTCCATCTAGAGAATCCTCTCATCTGAGTTCATCAGTAGCTATGGAAATGGGAGTAGTGTCATAGTACACGAATACTCCAAGGAAGTGATTGCTCCCTGTTGGCCTCCCCTCTCCTTGCACTCCTTGTTGGCCTCCCCTCTCCTTGATTTTTGACACAGAGAAAACTAAAGAAACACTAATAACTCCTGACCCAACTGGCTCCATCCCAAACTCCACTCCTCCAACCTATCTATTAATGGTCCCCTTTACCAACTTCTCAAGCCTAACTGCTTCCAGGTCCCACCCACCTCCACCCTATCCACCCCACCCCCACACCACACACATGGTACTAGCTTTCTTCCATGACCTACATCTTTGCTTAGAGAGTAGGACTTCAGGACGGTCTGTGGTCACTGCTCTATTCTCTGGTTCAGCTTCTCAAGTAATCCTTGAAGAAGCTACTAGGCAGCCTGGCAACAGACTCTCTGATGAAGATGGAACCTTCTATGGAGAGACCCTGAGCCTTCTGCCTTACCCTCTGGTACTTCCAGGATGTGAATGAAACATGGAGCCTGAATTTCCCAGAGCTATATGAGCCAGGCCAATTCAACCTATATTTCAACAAAAAGACATTTGTGAAGTGTTTAATACATGGCATCTACAGTTCCTTGGTGCTGTTCTTTATCCCTCTGGGAACCATTTACGACACAGTGCACAGTGATGGGAAGGATGTTTCCGACTACCAGTCTTTCTCTCTGATGGTGCAGACCTCCTTGCTCTCCGTGGTCACAGCACAGGTGTGTCCAGTGGGAAGGGGGCTGGGGAGAAGATTGGAAAGGGGGACTGCCTGGAAGAGAGGGAGGAAAGGGTGGAGAGAAGAGAAAGGAACATCCTCCATTAGAAATTGATTAGGGAGGTGGCTGCTAGGTGTGACTATAAGTGATTATAAAGTATTACATGTAAGACGATACTTTTCAGATTGCCCTCGAGACAACCTGCTGGACCGTGATCAGCCACGTAATCACCTGGGGTAGCCTGGGCTTCTACTTTTGCTTCTCATTCCTACTGTACAGTGATGGCTTGTACCTACTGTTTCCGAGCTTCTTCCCATACCTAGGTAAGGCTCTGCCTGGTGTTTAACAAAGGATTGGACTGAATATATTTATTTCAGTAAATTTTACTAAGTAACTGTCATAGGTGCTGGGCTCTGTGAATATGTGTATGCTGTCTATCTAAAAGAACTTAAAAAATCTATGGAAAAGAGTTTACCTTATTCAATGTCTAAGATATTCTCAGATGGTTTATCTAATTTGATCTTTGTAAGTATCCTATGAGGTAGGCAGGGAGAAAATTATTAGCACAATTTTAAATTTTAGAGATTTTTTTAAAACTATATTTGTTAAATAAAAGCTCCTGGCTCCCAATTCAACAAGCATCATCTTATTGTTTTCCCCAATAATTTTCCTACTCTCATCTCCAACTGATGAATAAAAAATACAGGATATAGCTATGTAGATGTCAGATGGCCCCACCTCTTGTTAAACCATACATTTCCCCCCTTCCAACACCCTCTACCCTGTTCCGGTGTCAAAGCAATATTCTAGGAGTCCTTTTCATCTATACCCACCTCTTCTACCCTGCCTTTAGAGGGAGGCAAAGGTGACTTTGACTGCACAAAGGTCCTCACTGCAGTTCGTTTGCATTTGTTTTAATTCTCAAGAGACCAAACTCTCCAAATTAGTAATTCCTGTCTTTGGACTGGAGAGCTCACTTCTGGCTGACAGTTGGGGGAGCCCATCCCACAACCACCTCTACCCCAAAGCTTAGGTTCAATCTTCCCCCTCCTGGTTCATTGTTTACAGGTGTGGCCAGGAACACGATGAAGCTGCCACAGATGTGGCTGAGCCTTTTCCTCTGCATCGTCCTCTGTACGTTGCCTTTTACTGGGTACCAATTTCTCAAATCATTAATGTGGCCTATAAGCACAGACAAGGTGAGTGCAACAGGAAATCTACCCAGATATAATTAATTGTCTTTGCCTATATCTCTATGAATAAAAACTATGTCCCCATTCTCTAACTGCAGGTTATTGAGAGAATTCATCATAGGATGAAAGAGCGAAGGCCAAGACTAAAACAGACCAGAACAAGACAGTCAAACATTCGCCGTTCTGCCTATGCATTCTCTCACACACAGGGCTTTGGGGCCCTCATCACTTCTGGCAAGACAGACAAGTTCAAGGAAGACCTTGATACTCAAAAAAAATGTAGATATCCATAGGGAAACCCCAAAGGACTCTGTTATTTTACTTCCTTTCTTATATTGACACAATTTAGTAAGGAGGAATTAGAGCCCCTGGGAGCCCAGTGTGAACCTGCTTCACTCTTCAGGGGCTTTAACTCTTTATTCGGTGTCCAGGAAAGGTAAGGAAGAATCCCCCACATATCTATCAGAGATGGGACATTTCAAGAAAGAACAACATCGAACAACATGGAAAAGGACCTCCCTTCCACCAACCTTTCCCAGTTTTAATCCAGAGAAGCAAATGGGAAGAGGCAGGTGAAGGAGGGTAGCATGGAAAAGGAGGAGGTGGGAGGAGGACCCAGTTTCCTATAGCAGAGCAACTGTGATCCTATACAAATGTGCTCCTATCCAGGCAACCTTTCAGGTTTATCTCAGAAACTCAGAGTAAGTCTTTTGACTTGTCCTGGGTTGCAAAGGAAATAATTATGAAAAGCTGATCATAAATTAATGAATAGGCTTCTGGAATCCCCAAAAATGGAAGAGGTGCTTTTCTCGATAGGACAACTCAAGATTTTTCTTTTTTTCCCCCTCTCAACCCCTGGGACCCTAGAACTGACATCTTTTTAGGATGAGGACTGAGAAGCAGTGACCAGGATATTTTTTCATCTTTTCTTGAGGGAAACACAATTGGTGAATATTTGTCTTCATTCTACAAATTATTTTGAGAAGAAACTATGTATTTGGAAAATTGTTTCTAAGAAGTGTATGGAATAAAATGCTTATTTTGGAGTGTAAAGACTTGTATGATTTATTAGCCCCAGTGAAAATACCATAGTCCTAGCAATATCATTGGTTTCCCAAGACCCTTTCCTTTTAAATTAGACCAAATATTCTCCTCCCTCCCCTTTTCTCCCTCTTATTCTCATTTTACAGCTACTTTTCTCATTTTCCATTCCACTTTTCTACTTCTGTTGCTTAACATTATATATTGGCCTGTGTCTTTTAAACATATTTTAGCTAAAATATTGGTACTCAAAGCTCAATCCTAGATTCTCTGTTCATCTTTCTCTGTAAGTCTTTCTTTTTTTTTTTTTCATTTTTTTGTAGGAGTACTGCTATTTATTCAGCCACTGATTAGCTGATTGAATTGGGCATCAACTCCACCTTAATTTTTATTTATTTTTTTCTTTTTATATTTATTTATTGAATCACTGTGGGAAAAGTTACTAAGCTTTCAGGTTTAAGTCTTGGTCATACAATGATCAAACCCCTTTCCCTTCACCAGTACTCATTTTTCACCACCAAGAACCCCAGTATACCCCCCTCCCACACACCAAATGCCTGTGAGGCAGATGATTTCTACTTAACTCTTCTCTACATTGATTACATTCATTACTTCGAGAAAAGATGCACCATTATTGTTTAGAATTTCCCCCCAAACAATCAGAATTGCTGAAAAGGCATTGTGAAATATTTTGTTTTCTATAGCTGGTTATAAGAATCTTATAATGTCACGTGGCCACGATTTTGGATTCCTGCAAAGAGCCAGATAATTACGAGATTGGTTTCTGTGTGTCTGGTGTTATGGTGGTGCCAGAGAGCCGCTCGTGGGGGGTAACTCGTGACCTCAGTAGGGCCTGAAGGACGTACTGGTATCGCCCCCCTTCCTATGAGACTGCAGCTGCCCCATCACCACCAGCTCATACCTGGCTTTCCTATAAGCTCTGAGGCGGCAGCCACCTTGTTGCCAGGGGGGGAAAAGGCAGAAGGGAGCAACACCTTTTCCCTCCTGGGGAAGCATGGCGCCATAGTTTAACACATGGTCCATTCACTTTTCTTCTGCAAGCTGCTGGGCTCTGGACTAAGTCCTTTTGCCTCTAGAGCCATGGCCGTGCCAGAGAGCTGCTTGTGGGGGGCAATTCATGACCTCGGTAGGGCGTGAAGGATGAGCCGGTACCATCCCCCTTCCCATGAGACTGCAGTTGCCCCATCACCGCCGGCTCGTACCTGACTTTCCTATAAGCTCTGAGGTGGTGGCCACCTTGCTGCCAGGTGGGGAAAAGGCGGAAGGGAGCAACACCCTTTCCCTCCTGGGGAGGAATGGCGCTGTAGTTTAATGCATAGTCCATTCACTTTTCTGCCACAAGCTTCCAGGCTCTGGATTAAGTCCTTTTGCCTCTGGAGCCATGGCTGTGCCAGAGAGCCGCTTGTGGGGGGCAACTCGTGGTCTCAGTAGGGAGTGAAGGACAAGCCGGTACCGCCCCCCTTCCCATGAGACTGCAGTTGCCCCGTCACCACTAGCTCATACCTGGCTTTCCAATAAGCTCTGAGCCGGCGGCTACCTTATATGCAATCCAGATGCATTTCTGCCAAAAGCCGCTGGGTTTCAAGATTTGTTTCTGAGTCTCCCGTATCATGGCTATTAATCAACTTGATCAGGAGCCAGAGAGGCCATTTGTAGGCGGTGACTTGGGGTCTCGTTGGGATGGGGAGAAAGAGTCGGCTCCACCCCCATGTGGTAAGGTCCCGTGTGTGTCGTCACTGCAGGCCCAAACCTGACTGTCCAGTGGCCTCTGGAGGATGGTGGTCACCAGGCCGCCAGGGGGAAAAGGCCAAGGTACAAACCTATTCCCACCTGGAGTGGCCCAGCGCCAGTAACCTACTGCAGGAACAGGACGCATTTCTGCCAAAAGCCTTTGGGTTCTGAGATTCGTTTCTGAGACTCTGGGATCATGGCCATTAAGCAGTTCGATCAGGAACCAGAGAGGCCATGCCTCCAATTATATAGCTGAGCTAGAGGTGGTTTGTGGGTGTGTCTCCCACATACCTAACTTTTGGCCATTTACTTTCTTGGTAAACTTTGCCCCAAGTTTTTGGGGTCTGACCAAAGGCACAGCAGCAATTTTGGGGTATCTGAAAGTCTGACATTGCCATCAGGCTGCTGATGCACTCACCTCACAGGTACAGATTGACCTGCTGGCAGCACCATACCCCCTGTAAGTCTGTCTTGACTGAATTTATTTAATAACAAAACAAAGATTCCTAACTCTACTACATCTCCTAGAGCAGATCTATATATGAACCTGACTCCAAAAGATTTCACTGGTTTAAAGCTTAGTGTTTATTTTTGGTTTGGGAGCAAAACCTGTATGTACTCAGGAACTACTCCTGAAACTGCTCAGTGAACCATTTGTGGTACTAGGATTTGAACCCAGATCATGGCCACAACCACATGCTAGGCAAGTGCCATGTCTTTGTACAATTTCTCCAGCTCCCCCTTTTTTTAAATTTTTTTTAATTTTATAAGGTGGTTCACAATATTTGATTACAGTTAATATTCAAACAGCAATTCCACCACCATTACACCTTCCCACCACCAAATTTGGGATGTTTCCATCCCAAGCCCCATCTCTGTCCCAAAGCACAACAGAAATAATATTTTGTATTTTCTGTTATGGAAAACCACTAAAAATGCTACCCAAAAGTATCCATAGAGGAGACAGTGTGAAGATTGTTCTACTTTGGCAGGTGCCATTAAGATATTCTTTAGAATATCACTAACATATTGTTAAAGGTCGAGTGATGTGAACTTTTGTATATGTATCTGAAACTCTGTATATATGCATATATATATATATTTCCCTCTATGATTTGTTGCCTGCTATCTGAACCCCATCAGTGTGGTGTGGTACTTATGGAGAATGTGTAGGGAGTGTCTTATGATGAGTTGCATGGCCACACAGTCCAGGAATACATTCACTCGTACGTGAGGCTTGGCCCAAGCATGTGTGGTGGCTGCCGTTGGTTCTGGAGGTTTTCGTCTGTGGGGCTGGTCCTTTGGGGTGGGGAGAGCTCTCACACGCCCCCCTCTGGGGCACCCCAAGTGAAACAGCCTGGCATGGAATCCAGCAGTCCAGCGGCATGGCTATGGCAGGTGTCATGTTGCTCCCTTCCGGGAGAAAAAGCCATGTGATCTGAATGGTGATGAGGAGATTATCTGGCACCAGCAGGAGGTGGCTTGTGGGCATGACCCCTGGTTCACTGGAGATGAGGGGGAAATGGGCAGAGGATCTCCACTCCCAGTCACCAGCTCCCCTTTACATTGTTAGATCACAGAAAAACTCATAGCTTCCCAACCTGTGTTAATCATTTTCCCCAAAACTTCATCCCAGCATACCACTACCATCACTCTAGTCACCTAAGACAGAATTGTGGGAATTATATTCTAATCTTCCTCTACTCTGATATCAAATAAATCATTAAAAAGCATAAATCTTACACCTATATTATGTCTTGTTTTCACTTCCTTCCACATTATTACCATTGTCCTTGGTCAGACTTTTATCATCTGTCACTTGAAGTATTGCATAAAACTTCCCGACTCAGCTTCCTTGTCTTCCCCTATCTAAAATATCACCTACATTACATTCATAGTAACTTCCTGAAAGACTAACTCATTGGTATCAAGCTCCAACTTGGTATCAAGCCCCAATATTCTTAAAGAAATTCCCCTGCCCCTGGATCAAGTTGAAATTGGAACCTTTTACTATGAGGCCCTCTCAGTCTTGTATTCCATTCCTCCTCCATGTGCCTCCTCCAATACTATTTGTACCACCATTTGTGCCACCCAACATGCTGTTTTTACATCCTAAAATCCTGTTTCTTATCTTCTTCTAATCTAGTAAATTCCTGGTTACCCTTCAAAACTCAGAAAACGTGGAACTAGATTGAGAGACAGAGACAAAGAGAGAGAGAATAAAAGTGCCTGCCATAAAGGCAGGCTGGGGTGGGGGTGGGCAGGAAGAAAACTGGGAACATTGGTAGCTAGAAATGTACATTTGTGAAGAGTTGGGTGTTGGAACATTATATGACCGAAACCCAATCATGAACAACTTTGTATCTGTGTATATAATGGTGATTCAGTTTAAAAAAACTTTTTAAAGAAATAGTGGTTTCTCAATGCCTCTTTTGCAAACCACAACACCCAAAACGAGAGAGAGAACAGAGGGGAATGCCCTGTCA